TTTTTTTGCACAAGGAAACTGAAAGAAGCTGAACCAGAGCAAAATGCGAAAGGAGCAGTAAAAGTTTGTAAACAGAGCTAAAGATCAGAAATATGTAAAATGAGCTCAATTCATTTTCTATGAGGAAAAAGTGTCAGAAAAGGCTAAATATTTCAAAAAGCTAAAGTTCCGCCCACACCAAACATCATAGCACCCTTCTCCTGAAAGAGCTGAACGTTTATATATGATTTGCTGAAATAGAACAAAAAATATGGAACGAGAAAGATGCTGAAAAAATATGGCAGAAGTATAGTAACTTTAAGAAATATAAACAGGATCACAATAGTGTGAATGCTTCGTAATCATTAAAATGCCCACAGATGTGCAGCAGCTGTGTGGTGCAGTGGAGTCAGCTCAAACCAGCTTCTTTTTTCTGAACGTTAAAAAACAGAACCAGCTCACGGCCTTCTGACCCGAGTCACAAATATTCTGCCCGGAAACAACCGACTCACCACGTGGATGTTGGGAGGTCCTCCTGCAGTGAAGGACAGCATGCCTGAGATCACAAACTGACGACAAACCAGTTATTTTACTAACACAGACTCACAGTTTTTAACTGGATCTGTAATTAACAAAATGTACTCTTCATACCACCACGTTGGGGATGGAGATGATGGTGGGGTTCGCACACACCAGACCCAGAACAAGGAGGAAGACTCCAGCGATGGCTTGGGCCGCCTGATGAAGAGGAGACGAGAGTCACAAACGATGAAGCAGAAACCGTGCGCAGCCTCGAGCTAAAAACTAAACTGGACTCTAAATCTGAATTTGTCGTCCAGAGTGGAGACGAGCTGAACTCACTCCCAGAGGTTTGGGCTTTCCTCGGACCACAAACACCTTGAAGTTGTCTCGAAACACACAGTGGAAGTTCTCCGGCATCAGCTGACCCTCACGGATATTCTTCAGGCTTCTAATGGGGATGGTGATGATGATCGATTCGTCACAGCTGAACGTCTTCCTCATCTTTCCTGTGAGAAAAACACGAGATGAGACGACTTGATGGATCCACCTTTGAGGTTTTGAAAAAGAGCAGTTTTACCTTTTTATTGTTTTTGTGTTGGGGGTTCTCGTCTCTGCTCGCCTCAGACGTGAAGTTTGCCGTTTTGTCTGATTAGTTCTATGAGGAAATGACCTCTTTTGGCTTCCCTCCACCCCACCCGGCCCTCACGCCCACCACCGCTCAAACCCACAACAGCAAACACCGTGCACACTGCACTGGACTGACTGCTGTACATTTTTTAATTGATCCAATTTAAAAACAAAACAACAAAGCTGCAGAAAGTCATTCCTGTACATCTGAAGTGCAGTCCCAGAAAATATATTTAAAATAAAAGTGGCCGAGTGAAACGAAGCTGTGGAGACATTTGTGAGGAAGTCAAAGTGCGGTGACCTCATCAGTCTTTAGGGAGGTGGAAATCGTCTAAAGAGCGGCGCTCTGGTTTTAGATGGTGAGAAAACACCCAGCTCCAGCCAAACGGGGTAAGATTTAATAAATCCAGTTATTTAAAGGTCTTTTTTTTTGTGTGTAGCTTGTGCGCATGCTGTGTGTAAAATATTCCAACTGAGCTGTTTTCTTTCCACCGTTTTGCGTTTGATGTTGCACGAGGAGGAACGGAGTAATTTAAACTCCAACAAATAAAACTAAGTTCGAAAGGGGATGCACTGGACTTTTATAGACGAGCGTCTTCGTCCTGGACTTTACAAAAACAGCCACAGTTACAGTCGAGATCATTTTTTACAGTGCACGGTCATTTTTACTTCATATAAAACCTATTCTTCAAAGCTGATCTCAAGCATCTCAACCATAGAGGGCAACAAATAAATTAAATTAAATAACCATGCAACTTCTGCTTTGTTAAATGTTTTGCAGTTATCCTCACAGCTCCAAGAACATTTTAATAAATCTCTCTGTGCGATTGTTGTTGCTTCAAATGTGCAGGAACGTCGGCTTTTGAAGCGTTTGAAGGTTTCTGTCATGCTGAGGCTGCTGGAGGGAAGATATTGTGCAAATTAGCTGAACTGAAACAGTAGTGGGATTCTTCCTTCAGGTTACAGAAGCACCATGGCTTCGGCTGATGTTGACATGGGGATCCACGAGGCAGATGAGCCCCTGAGACCCGGACAAAGAGAACTACCTCCTCCAAGTCAGGTTCGGTACTACCAGGCCACAGAGATGCTGCCACCAGAAAAAGGCCAGCTGCACGAGCTGCTGCAGAAACAGCCGGCTGTGTTAGGGGTAAGAGGGTTCACACGGCGTTCGTCTGTGAGCTTCAGTCACTTTAACGGGTCGAGCAAACACCGGTGGGACACGCCAAGCTGGTTTTAGATCGACCACGAGTCTTAAATGATCCACAGGTTAGCCGAGACAAACTCTTCCCAACTTCCTCATTGTTCGTTTTTGTTTGTTTCCTGTTCAGCTGCAGGCTGGACTCTTGGTCCTCTTCTTTTTGTAGGATAAGAATCAGATCTGGCTTCTTGCACTGGAGTTATTATAACTAAAAGTTTTCATTAAAATCAACCAGGCAATTTTGTACAGTAATTACCTGTACTGTATGTATATTTGTCTGTCTACGTGTTAGCAAAATATCTCATGAGCCAGCAGGTAGATATGATTAGACTCTCGCAGAGGAAGGTAACTTAATTGATCATGTGATAGAAAGTTGGTTCAAGATGGCCGTAACAGCTTCAGCAAACACCAAAGTGGCTCCATCTCTGCCAGCTTCACTGATAATGAGCATACATTTGACTACAGAGGCTTCAATATGATACTGGAATTACATGAACGACTCTAAATTGGTTTTAAATCACATTTATCTGATAGATTCCAGTTTGTAAATGTAAATAATGAAACTTCTTCATACACCAACGTTAGTCATGGAGTTCCTCAAGGTTCAGTGTTTGGACCAGTACTCTTTACCTTGGACATGCTTCTATTAAGTAAAGTTATTAAACAGTATGGGATAAATTTTCATTGTTATGCTGATGATACTCAGTTATATTTGTCCATGAAACCCAATGAATCCAATCAGCTACTTAGACTACAAGCATGTCTTAAAAGGCATAAAAACCTGGATGACCTTTCATTTTCTGCTTTTAAACTCAGACAAGACTGAGGTTGAACAAGACAGAACTGTTATGACTTGGCGATATATATAAATAAATTGAACGGAAAAAATTGAATTGAATAAATTGGACGTGGCGGTAGCTGAAAGTTGTCTCAACTGATTACTTGGGGTGGCGGGCGACGTGCATTTCTCAAGGTTGACTCGTTTCATTCAAACCATTTATTCAATTCAGTTTATTTATATAGCGCCAAATCACAACAAAGTTGTCTCAGGGCACTTTACAGGAACATTCACATACATAGAAAAGCCAAATATTAAAGTTGTCTATCTAAGGAAAGTGCACTGGGTCAGGTTAGATTTTAGAACATAAGCCGTTTGTAATCAGGCTTTTGTTTTTACTGCGAGTGGGATTTTATTGTGCCAACCCTTATGCCTTCACAAACTAGTTCATGTAAGATGTCCCAGAGAGATTAGAAATAAGACCAGTAAAATACGCACAAAGCTCTTCTGTAAAGCAGCAACAGGAAGTGCAATGTTTAGGTGTTGCGTCGCCTTCATGAAGTGTAAAAGTTTAAGTTTCACTCGCCTTTAAATACTGCCATGATGTTTCACTCTAAGGCTTCTGCTAAAAACGATTTGGGTGTTGATTTTTATTGCAAACGTGGATTTTTAAAAAATTTTATTCATGTTTTTTGCATGCATGCATGCATTTCTTTATACTTTAAACGGTAAAAATGAACACGAACAAAATATTTCTACATATTAAACTTTTTGGTTCCAGTGTAAGAAGAAGGTTGTGTATGTAAAATTTCAACTAGAACATCTTGGTTTTTACAACTTTACTTGGAACTAAATCCCTGCAATGACCTAAGCTAATAAAACATTAGTAACTGAGCAGGTTTTCTGGATAAAAATATGCTTTTGTCTTCCAAATCAATTTGGAGATTTGATATTCAACAGAATTGTCTGTCTGTGCTTTTAATGGCAAATGTTTAAAATGGTGCTGCGACATGACAATGGTGTACTTAAAGTAGCATTTTTAGGGCTTTTGATTTGGAGAAACAATGAATCAGATACGTCTACATAAACTAAAAAAAGTAAATTTGTCACAACGAGCTCTTCAATGGTTCTGTTCATGTCTAAAGAAAGAAGTTTGTGTCAAAGTTAAACTGGTGAAAGCAGCTTTTTCATACTGTAAAACCGGTGTTCCCCAAGGCTCCATGTTAGGACCTTTTTTGTTGCTTGTTTAAGAATGAACTAAGGGGGTTGGTGCAGTGTTTAGAGAAGGCAAACCTTTAATCGAAAGGTCGCCACTTGGACTAACCCCCAACCCCCCCAACTGCTCCCCCAAGCACCCCTAGATGGCAGCCGTCTGTCTGCTCCACACATGTGGGCTGTGGTAGCTCAGTGGTCCGTGTGCGCATCAAGAAGGCCATAGCAAGCTCAGAAGAAGTAAGCAGCTGAAAGGAAATAAAAGTATAGCAATGAACTACACTGTCAGGATGTTTCTCCCACAAGGAAACTGTCCAGGTGACATGATTTAACCCTTTCTGTGATTTGTTTACCTGGATGATTGAGTTTTCAAACTTTTTTCTGAACCATTTTGATCAGGTGTCCTCAGGCTGTTTCTGTGAGTAGCAAATTGACCATTTGGCCTAAAACATTTGATTGTTGTACATGATGATTGATTATTTTGTACGGATGGTCCTCTTTTTGCATGTGTAAAGCTTCATCCATGGGCTGGCTTCAAACACATCAAGGAGGTGCTATTTATAAGACAGATCTGGGTTGGCAGGCCTCAGACTGATGAAGTCTTTCAGATGAAACTTTTCTCCCAAAAAGAAACTTGTCCAGATGACGATTTAAACCTTTTTGTGATTTAGGGCCAAATGCTTGCAGATGATGTCATCTTGAACAAGACTCCACAAACAGAGCAGGTTCAGTTTAAGAATCTATTATTTATTCTTTTTTGTATCTGAAATAAACCTAAACTATCTCAAGTTTTGTTACTGTCACCCAAAGTGCTTGATGATTTTACTGTCATTATCTCTCTAATGGACTTTTAATTTTAAGACAATTAGTGTTACTTGGTGAAACGACCGCCCTCCATAACTGTTAAAAAAATTGCATTTATTACCGGTAATCATTTTTGTCTGCCATAAACTAGTCAATCTGTTGAAGCTATCTCAACCTTAAATAAAAATATCAAATTTAAATGACGTTTTACACACATTTATTTGCAGACATGCAGACAGGTTCCTGTTTTTAGTTTTCTACATTCACCTTATAATTTTTGCCATCTTATTTTAATTTGTAAAAAAAAAAAAAAAAAATCCGTATGCCTCTTTTATGATTGTCTATTGTTGTCATCATTCTTTGGTGAAATCAGGTCTTTCTTGTAAATGAGTCCTCGATGCTCAGTGGAATTAACCCGTCTAAATAAAGGTTGAATGAAAATTTGTTTTATCTCTTTAGGGACCGTTAGTTTTACAAACTTCCACAATTCAGTTTTATAACAATAACAACATAAAAAGTGGATGTATGGAGGAAAAGAAATGTAACTAATGGAATTATGTTAGGATGCAATAAATCCTGGATGCAATAATGCATTAATAATGGGTTGATTTATCCCTGCAGGCACGCTAGAGGTTAGAAAAGTGACAGAGTATATGGAAGCATTTAGAAAATTCTAAGTCAGGTTCAGTATTACCAAATATATATATATATATATATATATATATATATATATATATATATATATATATATATATATATATATACTAAACACATAAAAACACAAATAAAAATATATGAGGCTTATTTTTCCTCTTCAAGACCTTCTGAGGGTTCAGCAAGAAGAAAGCTGACGTGGATGAGTTTAAGTTCACTGAAAGGAGTACGTCTAAAACTAATCTGTACTTTAGTCTCGTTAGATTTAGTTTACCTGTGAAGTCTGCTCAGGTATATCTGCGCACTGTGATTCCGTCACTCTTTTCTTTTTGTGAAACCATTTGAAGGCCAAGTAGCCCAGTTAAAACCTGAACCGTCGTCGAACCAACGCGCTCTGAAAGGTTTCAGTCAAAAACCAACACAGTGGAAAATTACAAGATTCTAATTTTTGCTAGGTTTATACTTATATACTGTCACGAGCCTTTTTCTCCTGGGTTGTTTTTCTGTTCCTGGTTGTTGATTTCCTCGTTGTTCACATGTTTTAATTAAAAAAGGAGCCAACTTGTTGTCTTCAGGAAGTTCTTTATATATACATGAATACATTGAACTTCTTGCCCTACCACCGCAAGGAGAAATTATTTTATTAAAACATTTCTACTATTTCAAGTTAGTAAATGTATAGGCATTTTCATAGTGAGCTCCTTTTCTAGACGATGGTTTGGTATTGTTGAAAAATTGTGTGATGAATACGACACATGAAAGTTGCTTTTTTCTCCTCCTTGTCTCTTTGGATTCTTCTAGTGCTGTTCTTATGTAATTATTAACTAAAACCTCAAACTTATCTCACCATTAAAATCAAAAATAAATACTTAAAATGGTTAAAAAAAAAGTTTCAAATCTTTTCAAGACAAACAGCGACACCTTATTCTGTTTACATTTCACCATCAAACATTTATCGACGTGTTGTCTTGAGGAAGAATGAACTCAAACTTTTATCTTTTTTACTTTTATCTTGCTTCTTGTTACTTATGACTTTTATCTAGCATTTTGGGGGCAGCACAGTGGTGCAACTGGTAGAGCTGCTGCCTCTCAGCGAGCAGGTCCCTGGTTCAAACCCCGGTCCAGGGGCCTTTCTGGGTGGAGTTTGCATGTTCTCTCCGTGCATGCGTGGGTTTTCTCCGGGTGCTCCTGTTTCCTCCCACAGTCCAAAAACATGCATGTTAGGCTGATTGGTAACTCTAAATTGTCCCTAGGTGTGAGTGAGAGAGTGAATGGTTGTTTGTCTCGTTTGTCTCTGTGTGGCCCTGTGATGGACTTGCGACCCGTCCAGGGTGTACCCCGCCCCTCGCACAGTGATTGCTGGACATGGGCACCAGTGACCCCCGTGACCCGAAATGGAATAAGCGGGAAAAGAAAATGGATGGATGGATGGATCTAGCATTTTGATACTTTTCTGTTTTAGCTAGCCTTTTAGTTTCTAACTAACCCAATAGCTTTATGTGATTTATCTCTTTTTAATTTCTAGCTAGCATTTTGATACTTATAACTTTTAGCTAGCCTTTTGCTGTTTTTAGCTCTTAACTGCTTAAGCTTTTAGCTAGCTTTTTTTCCTCCTTTTGGCTTGCTTCTTGTTACTTTTGGCTTTTATTTAGCCATCAAACCCAGCCGCAGGCCAAATGGTCCCCCAAGACAATAATTTAAATGTAAAACATTGAATTTCTTCTGATTTTTTCCTTTTAAAAAACTGATAAATACATCATTTAGTGTAGACTTCTCTTGCCAGCTGGCTAACTTTGAAGCCAGAAAGACAGTTGGATCATTCTGTCATTATTGATTCTGATGTGGGAAGAGCGATGTGAACAGAGACAGATCAAACACTTGTTCATGAACCTGCAACCAAGAAAACATATCGGGTATCTGACTCGAGCTGAGAGTGGCCCGTGGCTCGGACAAAGTTTAAAAATGTTGGTTCCTTTTGGCAACCGAGTTCGACACCCCTAATCTAGCGTCTTCCTTCTTTTATGTTTCAGCTAGCCTTTTAGTTTCTAGCTAGCCCTAAACCTTTATTCTATATTTGACTTTTATCAAACCTTTTGTTTTAGTTCCTTTTATTTTCTTGACAACCTTTTGATACTTTTTTTTTTTAATTATTTATTATTACTTTTAGATAGTTTTTTTGTCTCTTTTACCTCTTAAGCTATTAGTCTTTGTTCCTTTAGTTAGTTTTTGCTCATTTTTAACTTTAAGCTATTTTGCTTCTTTTAGCTTTAACAACTCAAAGCACCTTCAGAAAATTCAGAACTCGTCATTCATGCTGTAATTTCACACAAAATACATATTTTCTTGTTTATTTTCTGCTTCAGTCTCGTCTAATTTAATGTGAGATGTTCTTTAATGTTTGGGCCAAATGTTTGAAGGTCGGGAGGACAGATGTTTGTCCTCTTGCCAGTCTCTGCAGGTGGTGAGTGGACTCCTCAGTGTCGGAGTGGGCCTTCTGTTCGCCGTGACGCAGAACATGCAGGAGTCCCTCTTCACCATGTTCAGAGTTTCACATCTTACCGGAGGACTCGTAAGTTTCCCCTCAAACCGGAGTCCATAGAACAAAAGTCCACATGCCACAAAAGTCTGTCTAATCTGCTTCTTTCATTGAAACTCCTGCAGTTCATCATCGCTGGACTTCTTTCCAACTTGTTGTTCAAATATCCGGTGTTGCTGACGGTGAGCTGGACTAAATATTAGCTGGCTTATGTAAAGATAATCACGGGACAAATAACCAGACGCTTTGTGTCTCAGGTGTCTTTCGCCGTTAACTGTGGCTGCATCGTTGTGTCTGTCATCGGAGCGGCTCTGATAGGTGTTGACCTGGCTCACTGGACCCAACAAAACAAGGAGCCTTTAAAAGTAAGCCGTTTTGATTTAAAGATTTAAAGCAGGTGCTCGCGCGCCATCGGTACCACTTCACACCAAGGCTCCCCTTATAGATCAGTCAGAGTCAGATTTATATAGCACCAAGTCACAACAGAAGTCATCTCAGGCCACTGAACAAAAACATTCATAAACATAAAAACCAAGTTAATAACATTAATTATCTGAGGAGCAGACAGCTTTGAGTTTAACTTCATCGCAGACATCTTGAGCGAGCATGAAGGCGACAGTGGGAAGGAAAAACTCCCTCATGAGGAAGAAACTTTTAGCAGAACCAGGTTCAGGACAAGTGGCTAGATACTTTATTCATTCCTCTATAAACACTTTATAAATCATTAATAATTGTTTATTATGCATTAATTAAGGGTGACAGAGACAAAACTGACCAGTTTTTTGCCAAATCTGTTCACCTATATATTTCATCTAGAGTTGTTATATTAAATATTTCAGACTACGTTACTACCTTGTAAACAAAATAAGCATTTAAAAAACCTAATTTTTTAGAATATGCAATAGTCCCTCGTTACTTTGCGGTTCGTTTTTCGCAGACTCATTCCATCGTGGTTTTTCAAAGTAAGATTGGACATGACACACAATTGGCTGATTGATGGATGAGCCACACGATCGGCATGGATTTTTTATTTAAAATAAATTATTTTAAAATGATTTAGCACCTGTGTGCAGCCCACAGCTGTGGGAGAAGCTCCCTCCTGCAGCTGATCAGCTGATCTCCTGCAGAGCGGAGAAGTGGGCGTGGCCAAGAGCACTAGCAGATGGCAGAGAGCAAAAATCATGACATTCTGTGCTCTTTGAGAGCGTTTAGAGTTTAGAAACATTGTTTAAAATATTGCAAGTGTGGGAAGGGTTTAAATAAACTACTACTCACTACTGGTATTACTATTCCTATTCGCGGTTTTTCACTTGTTGCGGGGATTCAGGGTATGGATCTCCCGCTATAAACGAGGGACTATTATAATACAGTATTAGTTGTAGATACTTACAATGCAGTGATAAAGTACAATTTTATATGCTAAGAAATAGGTTTACAAATGCTTATTGTGCTTACAAGGTAGTAACTTAGTCTGAACTCTAGACGAAATATATAGGTGAACAGATTTGGCTCACTATTCCCAAGAAACTGGTCAGTTTTGTCTCTGTCACCCTCAATTAATGCATAATAAGCAGTTATTAATGATTTATAAAGTGTTTATAGAGGAATTAATAACGTATCCATAAACTATTTATTATCCATCTTTGTGGGGAGCCTTATTGTAAAGTGGTATCTCTAAAAAACTCAGATGATGTAAAAATGTACTTTTGTTGTGTTTTTTCCCCAACAGTTGGAGGTGTTGCAGCTCTGCGTGTTGGTGCTCGAGGTCGTGCTCTCCGCCGTCCTCTGCTTCTGGTTCTTCAAAGAGAAACCGGCTAAAACTCCATGAGCAAACTGCGGCGAGCAGTTTGTAGGGTGGGGGGCTTTTGCATATAAAACACCAGAGAACTGTGAGATCTGGAGAAATAGAGTGAACATAGCGTTTGCTTTCACGTGTGGCTTTCTGCCTTTCTGCTACCTGCATTAGAGCACAACCCCCCCCCCCCAGCTGTACAGCCCGGGCTGCTGTGGTCTGCTTCACATGGACTGCTAAACGCACGAGCTGCGGTAACCATATGTCAGTTCCTTTCAGTAAAACCACATTTCATGCTCCCCAAACGCCACGTCTCTTTGTGCAATATGGCAACATCGGGTCTCTTTTTACAAATGGTTGTGTCAGTGTGTGTGTGTGTGTGTGTGTGTGGTTTTACATTCACACTTTATCAGTAGAAATATCTGCAGCTTTTACGCTTTGTGTGAGTTTCTCAAACGAAGAGGCTGAAACCCTCGGACGAGTTTAAATCTTTTTATTTATCTGTACAAACGAATTCGGGACAGGTGTCAGAGAGGCACATCGTTTGTTTCTCTGTGAAATACATCTACAATATAAAACAAATGTACAGACCTCTGACGTACCATCACGACCGTAAATATATCCTGCGCCAGCTTTTATTACACATTACTATCACGACGTGCGTTCTGACGGGCCAATAAAGTCTCGGTGCCCAAAATCTTGACTCGTCTTTGTTTCAACCTCGGCAGGAACTTCACAGCTGCAAGAAAATAAACAGAAACATTTTTTTTTAGACAAAGATGCTTTAAAATAAATACTTCTGCACACTTTACAAGAAAAGCAGCGAGTGGCTGTAAGCGTGCCAAATAAAGAAACAAACTTTTTATGAAGTACAAAACGTTTCACACCAAATTATTTAACATCAAATCGTCGGAGACAAAAAGAGAAGTTTAAATTCTAGATGTTTGAGAGCTGAAATGTGCAAACAGTTCCAATAAAAGTTTAATTTTTTTAAATACAGAAACAACTGATAACCCATTTAAAACATGGTTTTATGTTTACATTTCTGAAAATACACATTTTAAGCTAATTATTGTTTAACAATCCACAAATTATTGGTATATAAAAATATTTTCTTATTGTAATATACAAAAAAACACATTAAATGATTTATGATCTGTGACAAACTTTATTTAAATTTGTTTTTACCGTTAATGCCTTCAATGCTTTAAACAGAGCATATTCATATATATACATAAAGGGGCAGATTTTATAAGATTTATTCTTCTTCTGCTGACTTTCATTTTTAATCTGTTGTATCTTTTTTTTTTTTTTTTTTATATTGTTATGGAATTGTTTTGTACTTTTTTAAAAATGAATAAACTTTATACCATACTATATATAAATATATGAATATGCTCTTTTCACCTGATTTAGTTAAATGTTTCCACAACAGGCAGATTAAAACAAACGTTTCATGCTCGTAACCCAGTGTGCACGTCCAAACAACGAAGAAACCAGGAGGAAGACGAGACAAGACACCCGCGGCACCATGCAGAACCCCCACCCCCCCACCATCACGCTTTTTGTTTTTTCTCAGGTTAGTGAGTGTGAAGAACAAAGATGTCCTCTGCTGTGGCCGCGGCAACTGCACTCGGAGCTCGACCACCGCGGAGAGGCCGACTGTTAAACGAGCCGCTCGGGTTCAAAATGAAAACAGCAACGATATAAATAAATAAATAAATAAAGTGGTGAGAGGACCTGAGTCCGTCTGAAATGATCCGAGCTGATTTTTAGAACTTCACACAATTATTCTGTGTTAAACGAATGAACGAAAGAAGCTCCTCAAACAGACGATGACCTCTAG